ATTTATTCTTCACCCTCTTTCCTGGACCACACTGTTTCTCATCTACATGTAAACTTGGTGTGCAATAGCATCAGGATTTGCCAGTATACAGACATGAGACATCATAAACACACCAGAAAGCTTGGGAATTAGTTTTTAATTCAACACAAAACTATATCGTGACAGGAGAGGGGTGCTGTTGGTGAATCGCTTCTCTTTTACTCCAGAACACCCAGTAGCCCAGTGTTACAGCACTTTTCTGCCTTGAGGGTGATTTCAATCAGGGCTCTTGACTGTTTTTTTGTCTCTTTGTTTTTGATCTAGGCCAAAACTTCAGTGCAGAAACCCTTCCCAGAGACAGTATCTGCCAGAAGGTTTGATTCCTTCCCCAACTGACTGTGCATTTACTTGCCAACTCATTTTTCAGTGGTGTGACTTTGCATGAGGAGAAACTCAGCAGCTCCTACTGAGATGAAAACCAGGCTTTGTGCTATACGGCACAGGCCATCACAAGCACAGCATCCTTAAGGATCCAACAATATTCAGAACCACACTGATTACCACAATCCAGCTCATCACATTTAAGTGTATGGGGTAACAGAAGCAAGGACAGGAGAAATCAGATATCTCTCTATTTTATTGCAATCATTGCAATAATATGTGAAGAATATATTGTAGCACAGCCTGTTATTTAGGCTGTTTTTTTTATTTATCATGTACCATAGTATTCTGTTCTCAGTTATATGTTAAACTTTGCCAATTTAAGCCCTTGGGCAGAAAGATTCCCTTCTCAGTGTCTGCTTGGGCTTTTCTGGGAAAGATGACGAAAATGTTTCAATTGCCTCCAAGATATTTTGAGGGGAAAAATAAACATATTGTCAAAATGAATAGATATTATTGTTGAGAAATTCATGGGGAACGAGAATGTCAAATATATATTTTTTGTTCTTGTTTGTGAATCTCAAATCTCAAACATGCTCAAGTGATGAGCTTCTGAAGAGCTGTAGTTTGCCCATACTCAGCTGAGATTTTCAGTAGGGTAAATTTGTGAATGTCCATCTCTAGCCATCCTGCCACAGCCCAGGATTTAGTAGGTACTCTGTTGCAAATGCATTATGAGCTTTTGTAATCCATTCCAGTTCCTGACAGTAACTTAGCTCTTTGTGATCTCAAGGCTACCTCTACATTAGTAAACAAAACAAGTCAAGACACTTTCTCTGACCCTGTAGTTCACTGGCATGTCATGGTGTACATCCATACATCTAGACTCTTCTCCCTGCTAAATAGCACAGTGCTCAACTGTTCCTGGGAATTAGCTGGGAAAATACTAGTTGGAATGTGCCAAAACAGGGCTGGGACTATGTTAACAATTAAGCACTAGTAATGGTCCTGTGTTTTCACCTTGGCACTCTTTAACTTGCTTAACATGGACATAGACCATTTCTCCACTAAGTCCTTTCTAACTGCAATAGAAAATTCTATGTTTTGAATAGAGGGCAAATAAAACCAAGGCATGTGGAAGTGAAGCAGAAACTGGGACTTTATGCTGGGACTTGAAGCTTAGGGGTAGAAGTAGCAGAAAACTAGATGGACCTGGACCTCATGAGGGTGGAAACCAGAAAATAATTACTTCTCATGGTGGCAGAGAGTTTAGAATGGGTAATTAATAATACAGCTGAGATGAAGAGTCAGTAAATAGTGGGGATACACTGAGGGATCAGGGAAAGACTTTCCAGACAAGATAAGGAGCTGGGGATGGCAGGTGTGAGAACTGGAGAGTGAGGAGGGAAAGAAAGAGACTACGTGGGATTGTAAGGAGAAAACCAGGGAAGTATGTGGAATGGTTGGGGTAGAAGATATGGAAGCCTTAGATGGAAGTTGTGGCTGAATCAAGGAGCCAGGGTAGGGAACCGAAGTGACTACAACAAGCATGTCCTCTTGGGTAAGAAGCAAGAGAGGAAGAGACACTAGAGGAATGAGCAGCAAAGCTCTATGACAGTGAGAATACAAACTGCTCCAGAGCCTGGAGGAGAAGCTGGCATTACCTGGGCCTGTGACATCTTGTTCTGTGAAGGTGTCCCATCTCATCTAAAACTGCCTGACCTAGAGCACTACCATTTAGATGTCATCTGAGCCTTCCAGCTCCACTGGTGAATCTTGACTTTATGAATGGTTCTTCTATGTGGCATTATTGTTATTTATTTCAAAAGAGAAATTACATAAAGAGCCCAACCTGAATTAAAATGACACAATTAAAGCTATGGAGCCATTTAGAAAACTGCTGTACAACCTTCATTTGCCTTCCCCTCCCTGTCAGGTTCAGGCTTCCCTAATACATGATCACATGTTGTTATTCCCATGGGATGAGAGTCTTTAGCAGCTCATGAGCCGTTTTCATTGGAAGATTATTTTTGTATTTTGATTTATCCACAATTTTGGAATTTCTGTAATGCATGCCATCTGTAGAAACTGAATGTTTCACAAACATTAACATACATGTTAGGGAAGGAAGTATCTTCCCTGCTGTGCAGGTGAAGGATAAATGTATGAGAGAAGAAGATCTGGAATAACTTCTCACTTGAGGTGACCAGCTGGAACTGGGATTTGCTTTTCCAGGGTATTTAACACAATTCCTATGCAGTCAGTTAAACAGGGAATGCTTAGCACTTCTGCAAATAATGCCAAAGGCCTCACGGTAGGATGCCACAGAGTGATGATGCCCACAGGGTAACTTAGTGAACACCTGTGCGAACACTGGCTGAAGCAATTTCCCTAGAGCTGCATAAGAACTCCAGTGAAAGCAGAGAAGGAACTTTGGGTCCGCAAGGTACCAGTTGCTTTATCTCGAGCCACCCCATTTATTTCAGCCTCAGTTCTCTGCACACCTGTGACCATCTATTACTGCCACTGGCAAACAAAGACAGCAGCTGTTTTGATTGCACCCCTGTGATCTGAGTCCTGGTGCATTGACATTTTTTAGAGCAGGGCTTGAAGAACAGCAGTAAATAAAAGCAAAGGCTACCCAATAGCATATCAGCGATAGCTGACAAGAGGATATTTATACCACCATATTCAAACAGCAAGGTCCTATGGTGAGACTTCTTATACTGTGGTCTCTAAGGATGGTGGAGGGAAACAAGGGAAAAACCAAGAAGGTGATTTAAAGCAGGAGGCTAACTAAGCTGTGTCAGTAGGTGACAGCTACTGGAAAGAGAAGCAGGAGAGTATCAGCTATGCAGGTCCAGTGCCAGTGTTTCTGGACTGCTTTACTGATTGCTTCCTGTGTCTGATGCCTCCTTCTACTGCCTCTGCCATAATCCTATGGACAGATAGGGAAGGAGACAGGAGGCTCAGCAGAAAAACTGCAAGACTGTTTGCCCTAGCAATAAGACTGGTTGGAAAAAAGCCAAAGAATAACGCCTCTTGGTCAGCATTCTTGTTAAAGCATGGGCTATACATCGATGTAAATGCAGACTCTTTAAAGTCAGTGCTCTATGAGTGGAGATATTCCTTCTCCATGCTTTCAGTGAAGACACAGTTCCAAAAGCTGGGCAATAGGTTGTAGCAGTCATTATAATGCTCAGGGTAAAATCCTCAGGAAAGAAGGATAAAAAAAAAGCTGAACTTACCAGTCCCAGGAAAATGCAGAAGAGCTGAACTACATCAGTGTAGGCCACAGAATAAAGCCCTCCAACAAGCGTGTACATAGTTGCAATCAGGGCAGATATAATGACTGAAATATTGATATTGACGTCAATGATCACACTTATAGTGGCTCCTGTGGGGAAAAACAAAGCACTGTGTGTTAGTGCATGTCACAGCATGTCTGATGAGAAGGCTCTGTTTTGTTAAGTTGCATATAGTCTGCATATAAGTTGCTGGTCTGACACTGCAACAGCATGAAGATATTCCCCCCTTCATCTTCTGCACAGCCCTTCTGCACCTTTAAGGGGGTGAGGAAAGGAAGGCTTCTGTTGGTCTAAGTTTAGGATCTGTCATTTTGCAAGTTCTTATGAAATGGAGGAGGGAAGGGTCCCAACAACCCTTCCTTACATTGTTCAAGCTCTGTAAGGACTACACTCATGTTCTACCAGGGAAAAAGCAGCCAAAACCAGCTAAAGTTTCTCTGAGTGAGTTGCAGCCACATGGGTACAAGTGTACCACTGCAGTAAAAGCTGTGCCTAGGGAAAGTCTGCTGCAATATACCACACCCTTTTGTACCTCTCTGATGCTCTGAGCTAGTCCCTTTTGACAAAGGAAGAAATGGTAGAGGAGACATGATGGCTATAGTGACAGTTGTCAGTGACCCTTCTAAAGTGCCCTTGCATTGTTTATATGGGACAAGGGTGGGTTTCTTTGCAAACTGCAGAATACATCCTCTATTTTTGACCTAGAAACCAGGAACTTTTCCGGTCATCAAGCAGATTTCATTTGTAGAAAACAAACCACAATGTTGAGCTGACCAGTCAGTCTCCACAAAACAGCTCATAGAATCAAATCGTGTCTGACACTGAAAGGCACTTCTAGAGATTGTCTAGTCCAAGTCCCCACTCAAGTAGTGTCAGCTGGAACAGGTTGCTCAGGATCATGTTCAGTTGGGTCTTGACTTCTCTGGGCAACCTGTGCCAGTGTTCGACCTCTCCCACTGTAAAAACAATAAATAAAATCAAAAAATCTTAAGTTTAAGTGGGATTTCCTGTAATGCTGTTTGAGCCACTGCTTCCTGTCCTGTCACTAGGCAGCACAGAGATGAGCCTGGTTCCATCTTCTTTATTCTGCTCCCACCCCTGCCAAATCTGATGTTTATGCAGATGAGTAAGATCCCCCGAGCCTTCTCCAAGCTGAATAGTCCCTGCTCTCTCAGCCTCTCCTAAATGCCAGACACCTCAGCCCCTCAATAATCTTTGCTGCTCTTCACTCGCATCTTTCCAGTATGTCCATGTCACATATATTGGGGAGCACTGGATCCAGCACACCAAATGTGTCTCAGCAGGTTCAGGAAGAATCCCCTCCCCAGACTGCTGGCAAGGATCCTTCTAATGCAGCCCAGAATGCTATTGACTTTCTTTGCCACGAGGGCACATAGCTGGATCATGGTCAACTGCATTATTTTCTAACACTCCCAGGTTCTTTTCTGCAAACCTGCTTTCCTGCTGGTCAGCCCCCAGCCTTTTCTGGGACATCAGGTTTTAACTCCCCAGGTGCAGGACTTAGCATTTGCCTTTGTTGAACTTCATGAGGTTCCTGTAGGCTCATTTCTGCAGCTCGTTAAGGTCCTTCTGAAGGGCAGTACAACCATCTGGTCTATCAGCAGCTCCGCAAAGTTTTTATTTCCTGCAGACTAGCTGAAAGTCAGCTAGGTCATTAATGAAGACATCAGACAATACAGGACTCAGTATTGACCTCTGGGGTGCACAACTGGTGACTGGCCACCCGGTGGCATCCATGCTGCTGATCACAGCCCTCTGAGCCCAGAAGTTCAGCAGCTGTCAGTCTTCCTCACAGTCCACTTGTGTAGTCTGTACTGCATCTGTTTGTCTATGAGGGTACTACAGGAGATGGTGTAAAAAACTCTTTTTGAAATCCCCAACATGCCCTGCTCTCCCTTTATGAACCAAGCCAGTCAGCTCATCATGGAAGATTTCAGGTTGGTCAGAATGAATCCATTCTGATTCCTCCTAGTCCCCTTCTTGGCCATCTTTTGCTTGGAAGTAGTTTTCAGGAGTATTTTCTTCATTACCTTCCCAAGGATTGAGATGAGTCTGACCAGCTTTAGCTCCTGGTATCCTCCTTCTTGAAGATGGGAGTGACATTTGTTTTCTTCCCATCTTCAGGAACATCTGAAGGAGGACAGTCTTCAGATTACTGAGACTGTCCTTGCCATGCTATCAGCCAGCTCTTAACAGCATTCATGGGATGCATCCCATGAGGTCCCATGAAACTGAGTCTTTCCAGTTGATTTAAATGTCTCCTAACCTAATCCCGCACCAGGAAACCTTTCTTGCCCTGGCTTACATTAGGTTTATCAGAGTCCTGTGATTCCTGAAGGCTGGTCTTACCAGTGATGAATGAAGCAGAGAAGGCACTGAGTATCTCAGCCTTTTTCGCATCCTTTGCCACCAGTTCCCCACTTCCATTAAACAGCAGTTTATGTACTTGTAGAAGGCTTTCTTGCTGGCCTTCATGGCCATGTTCAGATCCAGATGGACCTTGGCTTTTCCAAACCCACCTCTGTATGCTTTGGCAGTGTCTCCCTATTTTTTCCAGGTCACCCGTTCCTGTTGAATGCTTCCTTTTTATGTCTGGGTTTAGTCAGGAACTCCTTTTCCATCCATGCAGGTCTCATGCTTTGTTTTGCTGGTTGCCAGGATGACTGTTCTTGAGTTTGGAAAAGGTGATCCCTGAATATCAACCAGCTTTCCTGGATTCCTCTTCTCTCCACGGCTGTCTCCCATGGGATTAATCCAAGCAAATCCCTAGAGAGGCTAAGTCCTACTCTCCTGATTTTTGCCTTGTTCCTTCTTTTCATAACCCTGTATTTCACCATCTCATGAATATTGCATCCAAGTCTGCCTCTGACCTGACTCATCCCTGACTAGTTCTTCCTTGTTTGTAAGTAACAGGTTCAACAGAGCACCTCCCTTGATCAGCTCCCTGATCATTTGTGTCAGGAATTTGTTGTCAGTGAAAGAAACCTTGCTTGTGCCCTCCGGCACTGCCCTTCCAGCAGCTAGCAGGATGGTTATACATTTACCTTAGGTGAATTAGCTATCTCAAGTGATTGCAGTGTTTAAAAACATGTTTAAAAAATCCTCTCCTTATAATTAGGATGATTTCAGGGAAACATTCTGCAATAGCTTTAGGTCCTTGCAGGTATTGTAGATGGATATTCTTGGCCGCATGGGTGGAAGAGTTCCAGTAGTAGAACACAACACAATGTGTCATATGTAAGAGATGCTGAGAGCTGCCAGGTTTGTTTTCTTTGGGACTAAATATTCATCAGGGAGGATAGGTGTGCAAATTAGGAGGTATAATATAACTAGATTATTCACGGAGTAGTTAAAAGTCAAAACCTTCAATGACCTTTATAATCATTGACAATCTTTAACTGTCAGATGTTAATATAAACCTACTAGAAAGGTATTCACACTATTTGCTTTGAAATATCACAGATTAGCTTGTCCTCAATCAAAAAGAAATTATATTCCAAATACTCAGAGTGTTCTTCAAGTTATTCAACTCCTATCACCTCAGCATGTAGTTTGTTCTTGGTCCTTTAAGGGTTTCGTGATGAAATTGTGGTAAACAAGTTCCCCATTGCTTTGCAGTTCATCAGAGCACAGTTGGAGAGTACCTTCGAAGTTTATTTTCTGTTTAAAATAGCTTGTGCTAGAAAACATTACCACATGCATATGCGCTATGAGAATGATTAGCTGGTAAAAGTCAATTACTGGTGCTTCAACTCAAGGGCTTTCTCAGGTCTTGAAGGGATTGCTAAATTCAGGCCTGAAATATAATTAAAAACCCTGGAAAATGATATTTATTTTTTTTCTTCAGGACTGGAGGAGTAGTTGGGTGATTTTCTATTGAGTCATAGTTTAAATAATTCTGTGAATTCTTTTTTGAATCCCAACTATTTTCTTCATTTTGTCAAGTAGAAAGCCATTTAGAATTGAATAATACCTCAATTTATTGACCACCATCTGTTTTACTTTTGTTATTTGTGCTGTGGAAAGTTCTGTATATGCAGGTCTCATATATGCAAACGGTTATTTTGTTTAGAGGCACTGGCAGTAATGTTTCATATCTCTAAGGGAAATTTTGACTGGATTCTGTGATGTGATGTAAAAGAGAAGCTGGGTCATCCTTGACACAAAAGGGACACTTATAATTGTTCATCTCACCCTCACAATTAAGGGAAATCTGTTGCTAAAGTTTTTCATTCTTTTTGATAAGGAACAACTTAAAGATACTTGAAAATTAGTAGATACCTTGTGTGTCTTTCCATTTCCAAAATAATTGATGGGGTACTATTACCAGGTTTAGTTACTAGTTAGCAAAGGCCTGAGAACTGTCACACTGAATCATTTGGCTAGGATAACTAGCATTTGAAGCCAGAATTTTAATGCATTTCTGATTTTCTGAATAATTTCCACTTGTGATAAATTAATATTTATACTGCTTATTCCTTACCTAAGGCAGAGAAGATGGCAGCAGCCCAAAACATTTCTCCCATTAAAGCTGGAATAAACAGTAGCCCTCCCATCCTTTTTCCATAAAGCTGCTGAAAAGGGTCTAACATTGTCACATAGCCTTTGGATCGCATAGGTTTTGCAAAAAAAAGGCCACCTACAAAGAAAAGTAGCATATGACACCAGGTGCGGTGGAGAAATGCATTACTGTTAAGGAATAAAACATTGATTGTCAGTTAAGGGTACAAAAATATCAGCATTACAGTTTTGTTTTCCTTTTTTTTTAAGAAATGCATACAGTTAAAAGACCTTTTATGAGCTCTTACCCTCTTACCTTACGTCTGTCTACAGAGTTACATAAACACACCCACACCATTAATATCTATGGTCTGATAATGAAAAATAAGTTTGTCTTATTTTGTCTAATTCAGTTTACTTAATCTGTCATTATGGATGCTGTTAGAGTTTTGTTTAATTTTGGATCGGCCTAAGGGAATGGCTTTTCTACCTAATCCTCTTCATTCTTAGAACAGAATTCAGCATGAATTTTCACATGGTCCTACTCTAAAAATGAAACTGTCCGGGATTCCTGGATCAGAAATATGAGTCCACACATGGTTTAGTGCACACATACCACTGATTCTTTCAGGACAATTCAGATTTATTATGTATGCTTAAATCAACCTTACTACACCTGCAGGGTAGGCCAGATGCCTTCTAGGCTCTGCAGGTGTTGGGCTTCCTGAACATTTGTCATACACTTATTTAACTTATGTGTGTTCAAGAATTTTGGTGTATCACAATTCTGCTCTGCCTGGCTGGTATATGGGCTGGATATGTACATAAACTTGCAAACACCTCACCTTTTTAGTGTAAAGTCCTCAATTTTTTTCTGGCTAGTTAAAAAAAAGGACATGACTTGGGAAAGCTGAAAGAGTCTTCGTATGGAAACATTGTAGTTGAGATCTGCACGTGACAGTAACTACTTCTGTGGACTTCTACCACAGTAAAACTGCTGAAATGCAATGTACAAGGTACAATAAAAAACCCTGGAAAAACAGTCAGTTCTAAATAAAATCTGTTGTACAGTATCTGGTGACCCTTATCTAGATTCTTCATCACAAGATATGTAATGTATTTATCACATTGTACAGAACATTTTCCTCATTTCTATGTACTGCCTTATATCACTCATATTTCTTCACTTCATTAAGTTCCCTGAACAGAAGGTGCTGGTTTACCAATCACATTTTATTTATTCTGTGTATGTTGAAGCTGTCTTTAGGCAGGTTGTTTGGATGCAAAAACCCTTGGGCATTTTTTTACTATCCTTTGATTGGTCATGGATCCAGTTCCTATTCTACTTGTTATGTCATCATTGCAAAAGACAGCTAAAAGAAGAAAAAAAGAGTCACTGGTGTTATCATCTATTAGGATATCCAAGCATCTGTCAAAGGAAATAGGAGATATTCTAACCTTTAAAACTAAATTGCTTGAAAAACTAGGGAAAGTGGTATGCAGCACAACGTTAAACTAACAAGATGATAATCTTAAATCCTTAAGTCTGAAGCAGTAATATATTTTCTAGCCTTGTATTTACAATTTTGATTGGTTTGTTTTTTTTTCAAAGAAGGATAAACAACTCCTCCCCTCAAACCTGCAGGTACATATCACTCTTACAGAAATGCTTTCCTCTTTGTGCTCAGCAGAGCAATATATGATACAGACTTCTCTGCAGTGGCCACTACAGCTTTCCAGGAAAAGAAGTCTGGACATCTAAAACCAGCTGGAAACGAGGGAATAGGCTAACTCAACCCCTTCTGAGCTATTATTAGTTTGGGTCAATTTTACAGAGGCTAAGAGTCAGGAAGATGCTTGTGACTGTGACCCTAACAACCACTTAATGAAATTGATGGATCATGACCCTCATGACCTTTTAAGGACATCAGCTGATCTCCAGGCAGACACCTACTGTTATTGTTTTCCTTACAGGAAACAGAGCTGCTCTCAGGGATAGGAATTACTACTGGAACTGGAGCTGGCCTCTCTCTGGAACATGCCAGAGAGGAACATCTATGATGGGGAAGGTTTCTGCCTTCAACAACTAGGACAGGCCATAGGAAATAATTTCCAAGCAACAAAAAGAGTCGGGAAGGAATCTCATCTGAATAGGAAGAAATAGAAGGGGCAAGAAGACCTGGATAAGTAACCAAGAGAAATGAAGGGACAGACTAGGTTGGAGGACCATGAGAAAAGACTCAAAATAGACTGAGAGGTCAAGTATCATTAGAAAAGCTAATACATCAGTTAGTTATATTAATGAAAGATGAAAAACACAGGATCTTTTTTGCAACAACATACTTTTTAAACAGTTTCATCAGCGGTTGCCTTGGGGACATGATCAGTTGACAAACTGAGAGATGTAGTTGACAATTTTGTAGTGTATTCATCATGGCTACAAGGCAAAACTTTCATTGCAAGCTGCTCCACAGTTGAGATGCAGTAAGAAATTTTTAATTGTTATTATTTCTGAGACTACATTTCAGGAATTAGACACCAAAGCACTTAAAAATTATAATGCTGTCTGTATTTTCCACTCTGACCCTGCATACAGCAGGATTGTGTATTTGCATTTTGACATGTGATTTGGAGTTTTGTACCACATTTAAGAGGATGTGTGCCTCATTTTAAGGAAATAAATAGACTGGTTCTGCTACAGACTTCCTACACAAAATTAAACAAGTTAAACCCTTGTGAAGATCTATAAGGTATAAGCACTTCCCTGATGCGAAGGGATATTTGCCATTCTTGAATTCCAAGATTTATACATGCCCTGATACTATCATGATCCAGATCACATAGGCACTTAAAGAAGACCTGAACAAATAAAGCTTAGTACATATAATTAAAAAAATCCCACAATTATTCTTATTGTGTCCTCCATTGATCAGTATGGTTGTAACAGTCAAATAGGTCTTGCAAGGCATTCAGGTGGCTTAAGATACCAAAGCATTTATAGCGATTTTCTGTTTCTTTTTAATAGCAAATCCTATCAGCAGGAGAGATCCAGTTTATCTCAGTATGCTTTTATCAGATCCTAGTTGGTTCAATTTAAATGGTGGACTTGTCATCAGAACTGTTTAAAATGAGAGATGATTAGCTTTAGTTCTTTGCTTACCTAAAATCAGACTAAGGGAATATCCGATAGGTGCCTGAGCCCAAGCTAGACCATAGCCTGGGACATAAACAGCTTCTGCTGTCCCGTTGATATAACCTCCTCCAACCCATGTAGCTGGAAAAGAAGAGGTGGAAAACTCTTTAAAGTGCATTAAGCAAGAAATCATCCCATGTTGTAGAATAAAATTCTCATCACTTGTAATATTGCTATTTTTATTATATGTACTGTACAAGCGCTAAACATGACATCCGTCTATAAAAGATAGTCCTAATTCAAAAAGCTTACAATTTAAGCATACAGAAAAAAAAGACTGAGAGAATCACCCACTCATTACCCGCCCTTGTGTCCATGTTTGCAATTGTCCTGACCCGGATGCAGGACCTTACACTTGGCCTTGTTGAACTTCGTGAGGTTCACTCAGGCCCGCCTCCGTAGCCTGTCAAGGTTCTGCTGGATGCCATCCCTTCCCTCTAGAGTGTCAGCCTCACCACTCATCTCAGTGTCAACTACAAACTTGCTGGGGGTGCACTCAATCCCAGGGTCCATGTCCCTGACAAAGATGTTTAATAATATTGGTCCAAATAACAACCCCTGAGGGACACTACTCATCACTGATCTCCACCTGGACATTGAGCCACTGACCACTGAGTCCATGCCTACCTGGAATGTGTGTTCCCTATTGTGTCTCAAGCAGTATAAACTTATGGAATAGGTTGTAAAGACCTGTATACAATAACAAAGGTAAATATTTAGAAAGGGAATTGTAT